ACCACATTATTTTTCTTATTCTCATTCTTCTACTCACTTTCAACCGCACATTTTTCAATAAAATAATATTTTTCATCACATCAATATTTTTTCCTTTTTTTTTCAACCACATATTCTTCATCACATCAACAGTAAAAATGCATTCTTACTATCAAAATGTGCACCAAATAAGGGCATAACATAAATTAGGTGAAATTTTATCCAAAAGAAAATAAAATATCATAATTTAGGATATCGAGTAAGTGTAGAAACTACACTTATCATTTAGCTATATCAACAGACTTTTAGAAATAAAATTGTTATTAAATACAAAATATGTTAACCAATGAAAAGTTTAAGAAAAGAGTGATATGAAAAATTATTAGAGGCATAAGTACTATAATTAGCATGGATTAAGAATTTTAAATACAATTAAAATGTGGTACAAGAAATAAAACTTGTGGTTTGAATATTATTATCCTTCAAAATTTAAATTGCACTTAAAATGAGCCATTATTTAAGAAAACAATATTTTGAATAGTGATTTTTAGAAGAATGTGTAATTAAAAAATATGAAAAATTTTAGATTTACATAAAAATATTTTATTGTATGAATGTTTGATTGAAAATGAATATGTTGAAAAGAATTTGAAAATAATAACTGTCAAGGCATAATCTTAAGAATATTTATCATCTCAAATAAAGTAATTTAGCGATGATATTTAAGATGATTTATCAATCGATGACACTTAAAATGACACCTAGAATTGTGCAATAATTTACTTTTATTCTTTTGCTTTTTATCTTTTTTTAAGAAAAAAAAGTTCGATATTTACATAATCTAGATCGTCTCATGTTCATGTTAATTATGATTACATTTTCATGTATGAAAAGCCGACTCGACTCGAGAAAGGAGATGGTTCGGGCCCGTTTCTCCATACGTTTTGTGATTTATTTTTGGTTTAAAATATAAAATTCAAAAAATATTGGTCTTAAAACATTATATGTGACTCGCCATTTTCGTGTCGAATTTGATTAGTTTATTCATTTTGACGCCTCTACATTAAAAGGTGACACATCTTTATTTTTCGGGGGGCTAAACCCTCTATCTAATAAAAGAAAAATCAAGATATGCTTTCTGGTGAGGATTAAAATCAAGATTTTAATTTAAATTAAATTAATTATTAGTTTTAATCACACATTTATTAGTACACACAATTTTATTACCATAAATTTCATCAATTTTTATCAAAATTTAATAAAAATTCGATTTTAATCCCCACCAAATAAGAATATAATATTTTGCTATTTCGACTTAAAAAAAAATCAATTCCATACCTATTATTAATAAATAAATTTACAAGAACAAAAGTTGTTGCACGTGTTTGTATTTTGTTTAACTATTATTTATGGGGTTCGATTTGCATTTGTTTCTATAAAATTGGCATTTTAAAAGTAAAGCTTTTGACTAAAGTCAACGTTTACTAAAATATCTCAACACCGTCACTGTGAGCAAATAAGAGCAGTACCTTCTAAATGAAGAAAGTATAATAGACAAATAGTTAACACCGCCGTTAATTAATGTACAGCTACTGGTCAAATATTATGTTTTGACCTCGGCCGACCATGCCACGTATACGAGTTCAAATTTGGAACTCTTTGTTTGATTGTACCAATTTCAGTCGACATGGTTCATCGGTTAAAAAATAAAAATATTTTATTTAAATTTTAACCCTCAAAATTATAGTAAGACTATCAAAGCTTTAGTATTAAGACAGCTAAGTCAGGACCATAGATCCAAATCAAATTTATGATAATTGCAAAACAAATAAAAGAATTACGATTTAAAAAATTAATTAGATGATTGTGACCGGCAGTTAGGTGATTATGAGTGGGCATTCAGGTATCTACTTCAAAAGAAATTTGTTTAAAATTACTTACAGATGGTAGGGGTCGGGTTATTGTTGTGATTGATATAGAACATCAATCGTTATTATTGTTGGAGGTCGGTACCACTAGTTGACAATTGATTGTGAAGTTGGGGGTTGATGACTTCTTTGAGTTTTGGATGGGTTATGGCTAGTTGCCATTCGGTGATAGGTTTTGAAGCCAAGTGCCTACGTCAATTATTGTTCTTGATGATTGACAAAGCGAGAACTTATAGTTATATATTGTGACTGACCACTTACTTGCGACTAACAATCGACAATTGGTATGAGTAGTCACTAGTTACTTGACCTATTATCGATATTGTCTTTTATACTAATGAATCTACTCATCCACCACCAATGCTTGAAAATACTAGTGATATTTTTTTTTACAATATATACACAATGTTATATACAAAACTCGCATTAATAAACATTATTGTATAATTGTGCCTTGAAATGTTAATAAACAAATTTATACCTTTAGCAACGTGAAATAATACGAACAAACATGTCAGCCCATCACCTCCCCCACCGACGTATATATGAAATCTAAACCGCGTAACCCATATCCCAAGCTTTGTTTTTGATCGTGTGAATTCACACCCCACCCCCACCCTACCCCAACATGCATCCACCGTTTCTCCACTCCTCGGTCATGGTTAAACAGATCAATCCAACTTAGAAGTCAATTTTCATGAGTACCAACCAAAAAGAAGTCAGAATCCGACCCATTGTTCACTGTGTATAAGCTTGTCGACTCTTTTAGTCGGCGCCTCCTATGATTTAATTATTCTGTAATGTAACAAAAAATTTCTACTCCCAACTTGCTTATATATGTAACGTTCAGTTCAAGAAATTCTTGCCAACTTTCTTGGATGAACATTGTTCTTGTTCTAATTCCGTTCAAATCTAAAAAACGATTATCTATTCTCATTTACGTGTTAGTATTTTGTACTTTCTGAATCCACATGTGCGTGTTCAAGGTGGCGAATTCAAGACCAAACAATTCTCAGAGCACAAGGAGGAATGATCGGTTGGAGTCATTACTTCCAGGATTCAACAGAGAAGAAGAAATGTCAGCAATGGTGTCGGCTTTATCCCATGTGGTAGCGGGTAATGTGAGCCAAGAGGTGGCGCAGCCTGCAGACGGTGGCGGAGCGGCAGTGAGTGGTGGTTCTTCACCTGCATGTTCTTTGGGTGTTGGAGATAAGAGGAAAAGAGAAGAGAATAGCAGCAGTCATGAGCAGGTTTCCGAATCAGTTGCAAGAGTTTGCAGCGCTTATAATAATTTTACCATTGGAGGTTCTGAAATAGCGTCTGGTAATAATAAAACTTTGCGACTCTCTTCCGTCAAATTTTATCTTCAACACGTTCTCTCATGTATCAGAAATTAGTTTTTTTTCATTGTTAAATACATAATACTCAAATTTTCATTAATGGGTGGCATTAAAATTTTGAAGTTAAGAACTTCTATACCTTATCATCTAAGATTTTGAACTAATATGTTCACACATTACCTACATGGTTGCTACAGAGGATAGATATTAGATGGTACGTATAATTAAGTTAAAAGCTTGTTTATAATAATATGGATGTCCTATTGAGTACTATAGACCAAACATACATGATTGCAATGTGTGACCAGCTTGCACGAACCCAAAAAAAGAAGAAAAAGAAAGCAGAGAGCAATCGATACAGTTCTAGTCTTTGACATGAATGTGCATGATACACAGGTGCAGAAGGTCCAAGCACAGGAACAAGCATCATAACATCAACAGAAGCAGTATATACATACTGCACTCCCACAAATGACACTACTGAATCCCATGGAACAAGAAAATACAGAGGAGTCAGACAGAGGCCATGGGGCAAATGGGCTGCAGAAATAAGGGATCCCTACAAAGCTTCTAGGGTTTGGTTAGGCACATTTGACACTGCAGAGGGTGCTGCTAGGGCATATGATGAGGCTGCCCTTAAATTTAGAGGCAATAAAGCAAAACTAAACTTTCCAGAGAATGTTAGGCTCCTGCAGCAAATGCAATCACCAGCACCAAATGAACTTGTTTCAGTTCCTACTTCAACCGAACCAATTGTTCACACTCATCAAGTTCAATATCCCATGCAGAATATGAACTCCAGCTCACAAGTTCTGATGAATCTTGATGATATTCCAATGCAGCCTGCAGGGAGTATATGGGATCAGTTATTGTTTTCATCTTCACCCTCATCGTTGTCTTCTTTTCCAGTGTTTTTTCCAGCTAATCCGCAGGGTAATGTTGGGCCAGAGGATAATGGAAGCGGAGCTGAAACTTCAACGCCGGATTCAAATCATCAGACTTCAGGATGACCTGATCAGTTGTATAAGTTTATTTGATTTTTGGTTTCTGGGTTGGTCATTTTCAGCATTATTTTTGATGGGTCGATCAATTTAAAGGGGAAAAATGGATATAATGTGGTTAGATTGATACAAGTTCATGTATTGTTGTTTATGAAGAATGGTGCACACAGACCCGAATCATGCATATAAGCACGCACACAACTGCAGTTCGACACTTGTACATACTCCCATCAAGCACCATGTACTCGAGCAAAGTCCAAAAGATACACTAACTGTAAACATTATACTGGCATAAGTTCAAAGCGAGAAACTCAAAAATGAGAAGCCTCGATTATCATGGATTAACTGTGTGCACAAACTGGTACAAACATCATGAATCTATTTCACAGAAGTACATATCCAAATGAATGAATAAGTGAAATAGTAATAACATCACAAAGGACTACAAGAAACAACTGGAAAGTCCAAGGCCAACTGCTGTAAAAGCAAAGTCCCACTTCTAATGCAACAGAACTAGTCGAGACAAAAACAAGAAGCTAACATGACCTCTCGACCTCCACTAGTCAGTATCATCATTTTAAACTTTCAATGCAGCTTTGTGGAAATAAAAACCTCATGATGCAGAGAAGATTAAGGTAAAAAGGCTTTGGAACTATTATCATACAGAAAGAAAAGACTAGGGAATAAAATAAATATGGATAAAACCAAGGGGAAGAAGTTAAAAACAAAGAAAAGCAAACTTTGAAACCAACTTCAGACCCATGCTTTTTATGACTAGTCACGAAAAGTTCGCTTCACTTGAAGATTTTGGTAGGGTTATGGTTTTCTAAGTCAAATCTTGTTTCACTCGGAATATGGAATATATCACACAGGTGCAGCTTAGATGGTTATACTCTAGCCAATTTCATGCCCAAAATGAGCCACACGAACCTAGCAACCATTTGAATGACAGGGCACTATGAAAAACTGAAAACCAGTCTCTTCCGTATATTTCTTATCACGTGTTTATATACATTCACAGATGGAACTTCGGAACACCATGTGATTCATTTAGGATATGTTTGGCAAGTGTTTATAGGCAGTCAAGTCAATTTTTATCCACATATTTCATGAGACCCACAAGTATTGCTCACTTATCTACCAAGTATTGCTCACTTATCTACCACATATTTCTATCTACTTATAAACAAAACCATTTATGAACACTTCCCACACAAGCTTTTAGATTTACAAGGCTAGGAGCATTTCTAAAAGGGACACAATTATATTAACAACAGAACATGTTATTCACTAGTTACATCTTACATCCCTGAACTAATTCCAAGAATTCCCAAGAGCTAATTAAATTCGATTATAAGGCATCCAATATAAATCTTGACTAGAGAGCTTCAAGAAAAAGATTAAATAATATAATTTTCCAGTAACTTCAAACTTGATAAATGTTAGGATTTGGAGTTCCATCTTAAAATGTCAATCTTATTAAGAGGAGTAACCAAATTTTTTAAAAATTGATTTATATTTACATCTTTATTCTTTAAGAGGAGTAACCAAATCCTTTATAAATTGGTTTATGTTTTCATCGTCATTCGATGTGGGAACATCATCGTCATTCGATGTGGGATTCTATCCCTTAACATGCCCCAACAAGATGGTGACTCGTTTGAGCAGATCAATCTTGAAATCCATGTGCTTATTTTTTGAGTCTTAATCGGATCGAATTGCTCGTTAGAGCTTAACGAGCTCTAATACCATGTTAAGATTTGTAGTTCCATCTTAAAAGGTCAACATTTTTAAGAGAAGTAACCAAATCCTTTATAAGTTGGTTTATGTTTTCATCTTCATTCGATGTAGGATTTTATCCCTTAAAAAATCCAGCAAGAAAAAAATAGTTACATATACCATTAAGAACTTAAAGAATACTTGGAATCAATAGCTCTATCAGAAATCGCAAAATAAGGGACATTTATGGAGCCTGACCTGGATGCTAAGGCACAGCAGATCTGCCATTCTCTTCAAGGTTATCCGTGAGTAGTATTTTGAGATGACAATGATGTTCTGCAAGAAAACGATCTCTTAAAGAGTACACAAATTTTAGAAACAATAAACAAATCTAAATTGCTACATGCAACAGTGCATGGATCTTCAAGTACCCTTGTCAGAGATGCGACACTCAGACCATTGAATCCACAGACTATAGACAGTTTGTTTCAAGCATAAAGTTGTAGATTTTTGACATAGGATGACTGGAAAAGTGGGTTTAAGGATTACATGGTCTGTTACTCTCAGTCTAAGATCTTCGGCTGCTTTTTCACTCAATGAGCTACCAAGCATGTTCTTCTCATTCTCAAACTCATCTTTGAATGTTTTCCACAGAGCTGTCCACTGGACGACCTACATGGTAACTAATTATTTCAACAGTAACCTTATGATGGGGTAAGTGAATAGTAACAATATAAGTGAATAACATAATGCTGGAAAGGAAAAGAAATTAAAAGGAAACCTTAAAAGATTTATAAAGGGCTAACCTGAAATGAGGAATTTCTGAAAGATTCTTATCCTCCAGAGCTGAGTTAAGAAGGCTGGACTGCATAGGATCATACTGTGCCAAGACCAAGTACCAGCATATTTTTCTCAACACCTGTTGAAATATACATAACCCTAAAGTCAACTGGGATGAAGACGACAGACAAATTGAGGAAAATATAAGAAGAGATTCTTAACTGGTATTCATTGTGCTGGGTCCTCTTTCACAGAGGGAATCTCGTACATCGCTTTGTAACATCGGCATATTTCAAGGTAGTCATTGCTATGTGAGCGGTGATACCTACACCATATGAACGTGGATTCAATAAGTTTGGGAGATATACAGCAGACATTGATGAAACAAAAGGAACATCTAAAATTGAACCATGAGCACCGAGATAAACTGACCTAAAATCAGGGTCGAAGATACTAAATATTTTCAACCATGGATCACAACTAAAAGAGGTTACTCAATTTTAGTTATCAAGCAAGATATGTCGGAAACGTGTGAAAGTGATTTATATAGCTCCATCCACCTGTGTTTAGTGACAGACATAGCCTCATCCAACTTGTGTATAACTCTCTTAGGTGTATTCTAGACGCATTCAACACTTACATATACTAATTATTTACATCTAAAATCAATCCGCTTTATCAGGACAACCTTGTTGATTTGATGTCACTTATAATTACGATGCCTGAATTTAGATATGCTTGTCAAACTTAAATTTCTAAGTTTCAGAGCCCTAATAGTAACAAGATTATAACACTGAACTGGAGGATATGCTATAGAATATGTATCTGATGTTAATTTATACAAATCATAAGGATTTTGTGGATATTAAAGGGATCAAAACAGAATGACAAAAAAATAAACCATGTCACATTTGACCTATAGAGAATCCTCAATTGACGGTTCTTCAGAGAAGATGTCAACAAAACATGAATTAACCTATTTACATGTAACAACCTATATGTCACTGTATCACCCACCCTCCCCCTGTTTATTTGTCGGTCTTAGCGAAAGTTTGCAGATGTGTGCATGGATGCACGCATGCAAATGAACTCTCTCTGTGTGCAATTGTATTCTATTAAAGACATTCAACACTAAATCCACACTAGTAACGGAGTGATAGAGGAAAAGAGTATACTAGGATCATGCCTACAGAATCATTAATTGGTAGTAGATCCGCTTCAAATCTTACAGTGATGGAATATCAGCAGGAGCTTCTTCTACAATACTTTCACCTTCTTTAGGTTTCTTCTTTTCTTTTGAAGCATCAACTTTAAAAACTTTCGGACTGATCTTTCTAGAGAGTATTTGTGCACGTACATAATCCTGGCGATCTAAACACGGAAGAACCTACATAATTTAAAGATTAAGAGTGTGTTTGGTAGGGATTTTTGGGGGAATAATTGATTTTTGAATAGTGATATGATGGGAAATGTGTGGTTGAAAAAGAAGAAAAAAATATTGATGTGATGGAAAATATTATTTTATTGAAGAATGTGTGGTTGAAAATGAGAATTGATTTACTGTAGAAAATGAGAATCTGTACCAAACAGGCTCTAAGCTATCTCATTGTGTGTGCCAAAGTTCTCAATTCCAAACAACGTTGCAAGAATAGTTGAAGGAAAAGGGAAATGCCACATACCTGTTCAAGTATGAATGCAATTTTTTCTTTTTTGCCATTGCACCAAAGGTCTCCACCTGTAGCTGAACACTGTTAGGAAGCCACAGGAAGGAAGAAAAACTGGACATGCTACTTATGAATGAAAAACACATGAAGATCTAGAAGTCCATTTGAAAGAAATTCTCATCCACTGACCGCAACTTGCATCAAATCGGCAGCCTTAGCTATAGGTCCTTGTTCTTCTTTAATCTTGGCAAGCTTCTTTATCAAGCGAGATCTCTCTATCTCAACATATATCTGCCAGATATTTTGGCCATTTAAGATGTAAAGCCTGAAACCAAAGACTTGGAAATAAGGAAAATGGATACAGAACTGCAAGCATTCATGCATGAACAATCAACTTTTCTGCAGATACACTGTTAATCGTCTTAATTAGCTCTATTTTAGTGTCAAGATCTGGTGTCTGGTCAATATATTGCATTGCTTGTTGGACCGTGGCTTGCACAGCCTGCACTAAAACAAGAAGAGACCAACAACAACACTACATTAATGCCGTAAAGGATGCCTTTTCCTTGATTTATAAAAGGAAAAACTTTATCACAGAGTAATAACAATTGTAATTGCATATAAAAAAGAAACTAAACTAAAAGATATCTAAAGGTACATTTTCAAATATAAAAGCAATAATGAAATTGCAGCCCTGTGAACTGCAGATCAAAAATACCAGCATAAGAAGCACGGATACGTATACATAGTTCGAATACAATATAGTACGATACAGGTATGTCGATACGACATTTTTAAAAAAAAATTAGGATACGCGAATACGTGTTATAAAATTCAACATAATTTCATTAATATAATCAAACATTAAAACATAAGCAGAATAATAAAAATAAAATAAAATATTAAAGCATTTTATTTTAATCCTTACTTGTCCTAACTTCCTTTTTTTAACATCATCAACATTAGATTCTTCATTATCATCAAAAATAACTCTCCAACTCTAGCTCGTCTATTGATAGATTAGTAATCTCAAGCAATTCAACACCTTTAAGAATATCATATGAATTTTCGGCAATGTCCCACATTTTAGATTCTTCTTTTGAATAGATATCTAATTCTTTTGATAAAAGAAATAGATTGATATGAATAAAATCAATTATTTAGCTCGTTGTCGAATTATTTTATTTCTTCTCATAGAGTGCACAAAAGAGCATGTACTCCATTTCTTTTAGCACAAAGATGAAGAAAAAGGTTGCACAAGAAGTTTTAAAAGAATGCTTTGAAACAAAGATGCATGTAAACCATGGAGTAGCTATCAGGTCTATGAATCTATATTATTCCGATTAGTGGTAGAAGCAATCTCACCAATAACATTCTCCATCACGTGTCATAACGTATCAAAAATAATTAAAAATTTTAAAATAATAAAAAACACGCATCCTATACATATCGAAAAATTAAAAAATATATAATAATTAAAAAACATGTATGACGTACGTATCAGAGGGTATCGGAACTTGGATAGGTATCGAAGGGTACGTAATTAGTTTACAAGTATTCGTACATCTTAGAATTACCAACTAGATGCATATACACACATATTATGATAAATGCATATAAATTTACACTAGCTCACCCCATTCTTATATCTCAAGTAAATTTATAATCATCCATTCAATTGTGGAAACTTTCAACTATTTGCGTAAATATGCAGATATGCATATTTTTGGAGTCTATCATAGTTATGTGAATGTCGTTAGTGAATAAACCATATATGATGTTTAGGTAGAGAAGAAACTTCCTAACATCAAGCCTGCTTTATATGGTGAGCGAGCACAAAAGGATTATACTTTGCAGTACAAACATCAGCAGTAAACATAGTCTAGAGAACCAGATATGTTGTAGCGTTTGGACTACTGCCACGGGATGGATGGAGAGCGAGAGCTAATATTAGTGGAGAACTAGTGTGTGTTAGTAGCTAGAATGTACCACTCATCTCTCAACATTCACCACATCAGCGCTATGTTGATTGGATAAGTGTGTTACACACATATGCGTAACGTCCCGAATTTTTATTACTAGTTGTTAGATTTAAATTTAGGACTTAAGTGCGGAATTATTAGTATCTAATGACCTTATTGGTTATTGGCCTAGTCCAATAACCTTATGGTTAATGGCCAATAGTTTGAGGACCTAAGTGGAGAATTATTTTGGAAGTTAGATGAAATCATGCGTAAAACAATGTAAATATGTCAATTGGTCTTGATTAAAGATGATTTATTGACCACATGCATTATTCGCACCACATTTTAAGTCAATATAATTAATTTGACCACGTAAATAAAAGTAATTGATTTAACCACATGCGTTATTTACACCAAGTTTTAAGTCAAATCAATTGATTTGAACACATGATTAAAAGTATCGATTTGACCATTTTCATGACAACACACCATTTATGCATTAACCATGAGTAATATCTAGCAATTTCCTTTCACTTTTCTACGCATGGTCCAAAAATTTACACTATGAATAGAAGATAAACCAGACACTAGACTACCCCTCACCAACTATTTGCACACTTTCCCTCTCTAACTTTATCACTTTGTCTCTCTGGCCTTCTCTTTCTCTTATTCTTTTTATATTAAATATAGTCTTAAATATAGTCGTACATTTATACAATCACACGTGAATACTCGACCCCACACGCAGCTCAAGGATCTCTCCGCAACAATCACCCCTTCTATTATTTTTAATTGTCCAGTGAAAAGTAAGTTGTGTTTTATGTTTATGGTGGCTAATATATATGTATGTAATATTTTTACGGCTATGTTTTATGTTTTGGTCCATATTACATATGTTCTATTCAGACTGGAGTTTAGTAGCGCTTCGCACGAGAATTTAGCACCACCTAAGTTCGGTCTAATTTTTGTGTCTCCTTATCAAGTTATGAATTTTCCGTAGAATAACATATATGAATCCATTGTCCACACACACTTATTGAGAATTATTTTCACCCCTTTATGTCTCTACTTTCAAATAATTGATGATTCGAGACAGTCAGCACGGAGATGGCTTTTGGTGGCAAAAGTTTCAATAATAAAATTATTACGTTGTCAAACTATTGTTATTCATTTGATTTTAAATATTTTAAGATATTTCTCATTTCAAGTTAATTTATTACATTCATTACATTATTTGAATTTTGATAAGTGCTTTAATAGTTTATATAATTGTGTTGAATATTCTTTAAATTAGTTTTAGTTTATGATTTAGTAGTACTTGGATCGTTAAGTCGTCACAAGATGTCCGTCCAAGTGTCTAGTTCGTTGAAAATTATCATTTTAAGGATCCAGATGGCACATTCCATACCCACGTCCAAGTGTCAAGTGTCCAACGAGGAAATTTGATCATTAAAGAAGGATCGTATAATGCGGCTATGAAAAACAAGAATGACCATAGACCTCTGATGCTCGGACTCTTCGAAATAGTTGGAGTACCCGTATCGAACACGACATGACATGGGTCTGAGTATGGAATATGTGTTGGATCCTCCAAATTTCAACCAGGCACTTCATCGTTTTTGCTTCTTCTTCTTTCTTTTTCCTCTTTCTTCTTTTTTTTT